GCATACAATTTCCCAAAGTAATATGGCAAAGTGTAAAGTGAGGGGTGACAAAAAGGAAGCAAGTGGCGGGTTTGACTAGTCAAGGTGTGTGATGGCTTTTAACTCATTAATTAGGGTGATTAGGTGTCCTAACTAGGTACTAAATTAATTAGGGTGATTAGGTGTCCTAACTAGGTACTAAATAGATAATTAACCTAACTAATACCCTTAAACTAGTTTAGTTCCATTGAAAAATTCCCTTATAGTAGTTTAGTTCAAGTAACAAACTTACACATTAAATCTGGTTGTACCACATACATGACAAGGCAGCCTCTTATCAAAAAGCAACATCCCCCTTCTAGACACCATTAAATCCTATGCGTTTTATATGAGAAACTAGACATATTAAGGTACAACATATACAAAAATTAGGTTAAAATACCCAACACACAAGTCACAAAGAAATTTTAAAGTTTAAGGATTAATTTGTTCAGCAATATTGCGTCTAGAACAATATGTACTAAAATAGGCATAACGTTTTATATATAAACCTAATAATCAAAATATTTTATAGTGTTATTTAAGACATAGATAAACAACTTTTAATAGTTAAGGTTCTCCTAGAAATCACTTTAAAGTCCATTAATAAGCCACACAAAATTCGGACAGAATCTAATTCTCAAAAATACTGATTTTGCATACTAGATTCCTCTAATAATTAAACCATCAATCTCAAGTAAAATTGCTTTAATTTAACACAAATCATACATTTCACGCATTAATTTCTCATGGTGTAATTTTCCAAACTTTCATTCCATAATTTATATATAATTAAGGATTTTGATGGGGGTTACATCTAAGCATATAATATAAATCCGAAGAACTATAAAATTATTGTAAATAGACTTATTATACCATTAGTATATTTGCACTTATTTATTCACTACCAAATAGGCTAATTCTCTAAATTGTCCTTTTTTAATAAATTAGATATATGAGCTTAATATATAATATTTGGAACTAGAGATATATGTTCACCAATATGGTTGGCCAATTTAGAAACTCATTGTTAACCCTAAATAATATTCCTTGAAAATTAGATGACCGAGCTTAATGATAAACATAAATTAGGGTCTCTGTTACCATTTAGAGTGAACATATCCATATCCATGGATCACATATAATCCGAGATATGCACATTATGTGGCCAACCCACACAATAATATTTAGGGTTAGTTATCTAGTACTACTAAACTATAGTGCAACATCATGACCATATTACAATAAAATATTGATATTATCTAATATGAGAGGGTTTGATATAACCATAATATTTCCCAAGGAGGAATAATACTATATTATGTTATCCGAGAGAATAATATCAACTATTCTTAAAATGAGTTAATCCATAAGATGTTAATAACTCTTGCATAATTAGTGAGATAATTATGGTTATATCAAACCCTATCATATTAGATAATATGAATATTTTATTATAATATGGTCATGATGTTGCTCTATAGTTTAATAGTGAGATATGGTCACCTTAAAAATGGCCCTTATAGTGTATCATGATTAATTCATGAATAGTTTATCAAGAATCACTATGTCTTCTCTATAGAAGGCCCTTATATTTTGTCAATCGATCAACTTATAGAATTGGATAAATTAATTATCGTTATTGATATGTGGGGAAATATTCACCCTAAGAAAATGCCTTGATATTACCCCCATGATAGTGCCTTTATTTCCCTCTCTTTCTCCGGCTAGGGATATTAACTCCATTTTGATGAGGAGAGCTCCATCATGCCATGAATCAAAAATAGGTTTAATCCTTTACTTATTAGGGTCATTAGAATGAGTATCGAATTGTACGTAAATAAACCGAGTTGACCAATGAAAATAAGGGTTTAGTATTCCTATGAATACTATTGGATCCCATATTAGAAAAATAAATAAATAAATATCATTATAAATATACCCTTTATAATAGAATATAAAGATTGGCCTCTTTATTAACTAGATCAAGCCATCATTGGTCTATCAAGGGTGATATTAATTAGTGTATTGACTATTAATAGTTATATAATGATATTAATTTAGTTATTTTTTCATCATTCCAATGAATGTGGCAAGAAAAATTAATTTGGTGATTTAATTCATAACATAATAGAGATATACTTCTAATTCACTCAAGCCTTCATGATAAGCTCATCCAACACCCTCATCCTATATTGGATTACGTATAAGTAGGAAATATCCTCCCATGATAAATCATATATATGGTCAACTAGCTTTAATTCTGAATTATCTGTCGATTACGATTGGATAACCTCAAGTGGTAGGTTATTTAGGGATGACTATTACAATGAAGCACTAATATATTAGGCTATTCATATCATTTTCCCACTTATAACCCTCACTAATTAACATTCCAATATATTATATGAAGGGTAATGTAGTAAAAATGGCCCTAAACCCCTATTTATGAAGGATATGGGCTAGGTTCGTCTTGAGGTCATACTTGTATGGATAGACTATCAATATTAAATATGCCCGAGTTTGGGCCCTAACTATTTACCCGTTATACTAATAATTTTAAATAGGAGGGTTAATATATTCCTATGAGGATTGAATTCTATGATTAACTTTTTCCCTCATTACCAACTCATTTAGATTTAAGACAAATTTACCTATCTTTCAATCTTGATATAAACGAGGTTCCATAGAGGGTGTATAGGAGAGATCTATGATAGCTTATTGGGGTGAAAATAAGATTAGCTAAACCATTTACGTATGTTAGGTGTCTCCCTAAATAGAAATGGAACCTGTTTATATCATTGTTACTATTAGGAGTGGAATTATCAAATAATAGAATAAGTTTTCATTGGAAATAGTGATGGTATCTTTTATGCCTGTTTCCTCTTTCACTCCTTGTAAATCTATCACCCGTATGGATAGCTTTACCAAGTTAACCCCACGATAGAGTAAAAATGACCTTAATACCCTAGTATTGAATATATATCATGGTTGATTGTCTATAATTTTACCCACTATAATTTCTAATCATAATTCAAGATGGGCGTACATTATGTGTAATATATGATTTGTTTACCCAATAAAGGATAATTTAAATTATTAGGATTGGCATATTGATAAATTTTAATGTTAGATTCTAAATATAGATTATCCCTTCAATAATTGGGAGGTTACCTTCAAGCCATAATGATCCTATGAATTTTTTTATAATTGATATCATCATTTATTATCCACAAGGTAAGATTTGAGTATAAATCCTTTTAAAGAGTGGGGGAATGATATGAACATGGGCTACTCAAACCTCAATGTTATTATCAACAAGGAGATGGGTTGTTTCATTTTGGGCCCAATCACAAGGGCTAAGGCCAAGAAGTTTGATGAGTCCTTCAATGGGCTGAACGTTTTAGACTTAATGTCCAATCTGGCCGAACTTTCTTATTTTGATGTTTTGGTCCGAGATTGTTAAGTAGCAACGATAGAATCAGCCCACTTCAAAGTCACCATTATTTTCAAGTCAACAAAATCAAGCTTTGGGGCTGAAATTCTAGATGCTGAATTGAATTCAAGGAGTTTGCTTCCAATTTCAAGAAGACTTTTCAAAGCTTTGTTGGATCCAAAATTTTTTATTGTTAGATCTTATGTAATTTAATTCAACTTCGTCTTTCTGAATTTCTAGTAGCATATTTATGTTAAAAAAAATATGTAACTTTGTTTTAAAATCAATCTTTGAATCAAATCAACCTTTGTGAGAAAATTCACACCTTAGTTCTTTCTAGAACTGAATTTCAGAACTTATCAAGAGTCTAATTTGATTCTTGTGGCATTCAAGTGACTTATCACTCCCATTATACCCTCTTTAGAGTGTGGCATCCATATCCTTTCAATCTAATTTGGCGTTTTGGGATTTTATCCTTCTTATTTGTGGGCTCTCTAGCCATTTAGCTAATCGGGTTCACATCGGTTGGTATCGAGCTCGGTTTCCAATTAGGTTTTTTTCTTTTTCGATTAAATTCAATTCCTTGTAGTGTTGTTTAGTATAATTTTAGGTCAATCCAACCACATATATAAAAGAATGGTTTGTTCTAATTAGGGTCTATCTAGATTTGTTTGAATTTGCTTTACACTTCTTGTTATTTCAATTCAGTCTTGTTTTTTCGTCAAGTCTAAATCCTCTAATTTGTTATCCTAATTCTGAAAGTGTTCATTTGTTGCCAAAATTAGTATTCTTCCATTATTAAAAAAAAAAAGAAGAAGAAAAAAGAAAAGAAGGAATCAATTTAGTGTGCATTCTTAAAGTCCAAATTTTTGTGAATCAATTCAGCTCATTAGGACCAAATCTATCAAAAAAATCAGTCCTAGAGTCTTTTGTTTAGTTATCTTATGATCAATCAGTTCTATCAAAAAATATATAGTTTTAAAGATTGAACTCTTCATCATTATTCAAATTTAATCCTATCCGAAACTATTGTTTGTCCGAAATTTTCGTTTGTATTCTATTTTTTAAAACTATCCGAATCAATACTTCTTTGGGTATTAAAAAAAATCATATCTTCATTATCATATTCCAAAAAGCAAATATGATGCGATTTGTGGCACTAGAAATACGAGATATGGAATAACCAATGCCAAAGGATCTGTTTGGGGCTCTCCAAATTGAAATCAGATGTATAAGAAGAATGATTAAACTTTGTGAAGAAGAGGCACTCTAGCAACAAAATGAGGCATTTGAAGTAGCAAATTCCAAAGATCATAGTATCAACATAGAGGTTAATGTGGTTGAAACTTCTTCTAAAAGGTTCGAACGACATGACGAACAATCGAAATCTAAAAATTTTGAGGTTGTTGTTGCTGACAAAGAGGTTCATGAGGTTGTCAAAAACATCGAATTTCAGCAAAAGTGTTAACAAAGCTACTGTCCTTGACAATTTGTAGACATCAAATTTTTTAACAATGAAGTGACTAATGTTGTTGCACTTTACGAGGGTATTAAAGTCAAAGATGATGGCATTAATGAGTTTGTCAATGAAGGAATAATCGAGTGTGATGTTGATGCCATTAAAATGTTATACAAGAGTGATGATCTTACAATTGATTTTCTTGGTGTTGATAATTTGTATAGTAGAAGGTCTAGTTCATTAAAGCTTACCTTTGATGACATTGGATATAAAATATTTGAATATGTCAATTGGGTTGTTAGCCACCTAAATGATGGTTACCTTAATTTTTCTATAATTGATATCATCATTTGTTACCCACAAGGTAAGATTCAAGGATGAATCTTTTTGAAGACTGGGGGAGAGAAGGAGAGGAGGAGAGGAGGAGAGAAAGTGAGAGAGGGAGAAACAAGGAGAATTAACAATAGATAGATTTTTCCATCTAAGAAATTCCAATTAGCTATAAAACCAAATCGTATGTTTAGTAGATAAAGGAAGGATAATATTACCAAGGGGTAATACAACGGGTTCATTCCTATAGAGTGTACTCTCAATTATTGGGTTGATAATCAATATTACTGTGGTGAGTAATCAATGTATGGAGATGGTAAGTAATACGATAATAGAAACATGGTAACTAAACTAGGGAGGATGGTATATATATGAAAATGGGCACTATTTTGGGCCATTAGTCCCAACCAAGGGAGAAGTGCACTATATATATAGGAATTCTTAACCTATTAACTCCATAATTAATAGGAATATTAAAAAATTATCTACTAATAATGATAGGTCAACTCTTTGGTATATATATTCCTCCCTATTATGATAACATCAAGTGACTCTAAGCAAAATGCTTAGTCTATAGTTAAACCTTAGTTAATAACATCAATATGAAATATAATAAATTGTATTGTGATAGGGCTATAATATTAGGTTATCTATATATTAATGTTAATGTAAGAATTTAGAAATTAACATGGGAGAGGCTAGGACCCATCTCATAGAAGGCCTCCTCTGAATCATTATCCATAATGTTCAGCTTTAGTACAATCATATTCATGTTTTGCATTAGATATGTTTGATGTTAAAAATACACCAATGAAATAATACTCCCCATAAATGGTAGAATTATATAGATACCTAATAAGGATATATCGTAATAATAGTCAAATATTATATAGATATATCAATTCCTCATAACCTTTTATAGTGCCATACCGTTATGTTATGTATACCCTAGTTATTTGATTACCAAATATACTAGGTAAATGAATGTCTCCCAAAGTGGTCTTAGGTAGTGTGAAATATTATCATACAATTATATAAAGTTTAGTCATACTTCATTATATATTATATCAATGAGAAGAGGAGCTATTTGAGGTAGGTCAAATAGCAAGCTCAAATGTTGGGTAAACTTATTGAACAATCCTATTATACCTATATTAAGAGGATATATTATATCAATGAGAAGAGAAGCAATTTTGAGTTCGATCAAATAGCAAGCTCAAATGTTAAGTAAACTTGTTGTAAGGCACCCTATTCGGACAATGACTAGGATTTCCCAATAGTAACATTTTAGATATAAATTCATTTAATGGAATATGTCAAATAACCATGACTAGATAGAAAAATATATCGAACATCCCCTGTGATATCTCAGCCTAATAAAATATAACTAATATATTTTCTCTTGATTCATAAGGTCCGTTATGATCATATACCTTGTTCGGATAAATATAGTCTATGTAAGGCCATTGAATAACCCTAGGAAAGATTGGGTATATTTAATTATACTATCTATTAGATGATCCATATTTATTATCATTGAATTTTTAGTGTTCATAGTTGACCCAAAAAGGGACCCTTTAGTAAAGGGTACTATATTTATATTAGCAACCATAACAATCTCTTTCCATATTGATATTGTCAATACGAGAGATGTTCCCTATTCAAAAGGTACAAGAGTGATAAACTTATTTCTTGATATATACTAGTAGGAAATCCTTAAATATACGATGATATTAAGAGGGGTTTATATAGGGAACATATCTTAATTAGATCAAGTCTTCATTATTCCACTATCTCTCCCTAATGTTTCAATTGCTTAGACCTCTCTATCTCATAAACACTCCCTATAAATGGTACCCATCCATTTATTATGTATATTCTATAAATAATCCCATCTAGCCTTAGATATGAATCTTAACTAAAGAGAATAACCCTTACTCTTATTTGAGAGATCACCTACCGTGAGTGATCATAAATTTATAAATGACCATTAGATATTACTTAATAGATTAATTGGCATAATTGCTAGTATAAATAACCAATTATCGTTATTTATCCATTAGTTACTAGTATTCCCCCTAACTATAAAAGGTTATATTATCGACTTTCCCTTGTAAGAGAATTACCTCCAAGATGTTCACTCCAACCTCTATACATGGAGGTATCATAGCTCCATGTATTTTTATTACTCACATATTATTTTTAATAGGCACTATTGGTTAAATGATACACTATATAGAATGTGTAAACAATATCCTTGAAGAATCGGGGCTTACTACTAGGAAACCAATTATTATCAATATAACTTTTTTGACAAAGCATAATACCTATTCTATAATATCAATGGGGATATAATTGGAAATACATTACCAATTATAAACTATATTTCTAATTATGTCAACATGGATGATATTATGACCCATGATTAATATAGGTCATAATATATAATGAAGAGTCTTATATGTTTATTATAAGGAATATCCATCCTTCTATGATCACACATGTGGTATATGTAGTATATAGCGACCCTATAGTGATTATAATTGGATGAACCATGGTAACACTATTCCTTATATAGATTCATCAAATGTAAGAGCATGGATGATAACACTAATATCCTATGATTAAAAGGAATCCCCCTTAGAATAAATTATGGCTAACAAAAAGTCCAAGATAATAGTGAGGAAGCAAAGTAAGAGAATTATTGATGTGAACCCCATGTATAAAGACAAGAGACGTAAACACCTTTATCACTAGACAACCCCAAGAATGTGCCCAATAAGGTTACAATAAGCAGAACCCAACCCTTTCCTATAAGGAGGCAAAAGCTGAAGCTATAATGCAATGGAGTGAAGAACACCACACCCTATGGAGAATGATAAGTTCGGAGATGCCATAAGGGTTGTAATCTTTGATAAGTCAGATTTAATTCTCAAAAGAACAAAGGAAAAAAAATTCTCTCAAATTTATTAACTCTTAAAATTATTCTCTCCCCGAAATAGAACTAAACCATCCTTTAAATAGGCTAAACATGCCACTTCGACCCTAAAAGGACTCTACACATCCTTGGCACATAAGGAGAACATAAACAACTCTAAAGAACTTAAAAACATACATAAATAATAAGGCTTAAAACATTAAGCCCAAATCTGACTTAATTAGTTAGTTCTAATTATAATTAAGTTAGATATAACAAAATAGGCCCAATATGATTTAAGGAGTTCAATCATGGACTTGGATCAGATTGACAAGTCTTGGATCCCCTTCTTACGTTAAGATGATGCCACAACGCTCCCATGCTTCCTTGGAATTGCATTCTACCTAACACTCTTGAAATAACCAATGGAGAGCTTTTTAAGCTTATTTGCCCTAACTCACATTATTAGACCATCTTTAATGTGTAATGGATCAAATCTTAGACTTGTAAACTCACCATCTTGGATCTCCCTTGGAGACACCACTTTGCTTGGCCCATTTGACTCCTTGGTTTCCATTAATACAATATTGACTTTCTTTATTCTCATCATTCTCACTTTTCTAAAAAAGATTCATCCTCGAATCTTTATCTTGATGCTCATATACTCCCTCGATTAGAGAACACTCATCATCGAATCTTGTAATAATAAAGTATAAAAAATGTGTACCTAACCTACAAAATTCGAACAAATAATGGCAAAAAAAATTTAGATTTGATTTTTTTTTTGTCATTCATCTCCTCAAGAAGGACAAATTCAATAAATGGCATCTTCTCTTGAACATCCACAATCTTCTCATTATTTTCCTTCTTTTGCATAGCCACAAGATTATCAAACTTGTCCTGTTTTAGCTCTTCTTGTTATTTTGCCAAATCTTTGATGAACATAGACTCTTCTCGTTTAATACTCTCTAACTTCTCCTTAAGCACTAGTTCTCTTAAATTAAGATTGAATTTGGATTCCTTGGCCTTGGGCTTGTAATCAACCTTGGTTAATTCTTTATTTATAGTAGCATAATGATCATGATGACTGAAAATTTGAGTGCTCTCACTACCACAAAATCAGCGGCAACATAGCCATTGTTATGAATGAAGTTTGAGTGCTCCCAACCTTTTTTCTCTCAATTTCTTTTTTCACACTCATTTAGTCCTCATAAACTTAAATGGAACAAGCGTTACTTTTCGTCCCCTCATTTCAAATGAATATCTATTACTAAAACATTTCTAACAACTTGCTAAGGTTTTCCTAACAAAATATGACCCATTCTCATCAGCACAACATCACACAAAACCCCATCCTTGTATCTCCCAATAGAAAATGAAACTATCACTTATTTTTTTACCGCGACTTCTCTATACTCATTTACCCATTGCAATGTGTATGGCCTAGGATGTTTAATTACGGGCAAACTCAATTTTTCATCTAAATCGGGACTACACAACCACCCCCATCTATTATCAAATGATAGACCTTATTATTAATGACATGACATCGGGTATGAAAAATATTATCTTTCTATGCCTCCTCCTCACTTTTCACTTGCATGCTTAAAGTGCGCATAATTACCAACGACTTACCACAAACATCATTATCAACAATCACTTCATCCTCTCCCTTAGGATTTTTATCTTTTGACATGTTTAAAACCTATATGAAATTCATTTGTAATAAAAATTTCTCACACACACTCCATCACATGTTTCACTCACTCAAATTGATGACACTCAAAGATCATGTTTGCTATCTTTTAGGTTTTTTCTTTAATACGCTCACACTCTCCGGCCTTTCACCAATCTAACTCACTCCTTTGATTCTTCTGCAAGCTGATCCAAACCACATAAGAACTAACCAATTGCAAGTGACTCAACAACTTCACTTTCAAAGGATCAAATTTTAGACAAATTTGGAATAAGGAATTGAAAAACCAATTCAAATAAAAATTTTAAGTTTTTGAACACTAAGAATGATACTGTAACTCATATGAATTTAATTTAAATATGATAATAACAAATAAGACACAACGGGATAGAAATAAAATAGTTCAAGCTTCCTTTTTTAATTAAAACTGATTCTATTTGGACTAAAATGAAATTAACTACAAAGGCACAAAATAGAACAAAAGATAGTGAAAAAGAACTTGATTTATATTGAAAAAA